TTCTCTTTTGTTGGATAAAATAGAAGCACAATGATGAAAATTTGTTGGCGTCTTGCATGGAACAAGAACATAATATAATAATTGATAGCCTACTTCATGTTTCCTTTCAACGTTTTCTAACCGACAATTCAAAATTATTAAGATTTTAAAGATTGCGAAACTTTGTTTAAGAGCGAACATTGAAAGTGCTTTGCGCCAAACAATTACGAAGTTACAAATTTGTATTCCAAAAGGGCTTCTTGAATATAGCAGTTTAGATTATTTTTTGACAATTTAACTCGATAAATTATTCTTTTAAAATGTCCATACAATTTTACATCTAAGTACTAGAAATGAAACAACATAGTTTAGAATATGGCGTCCATGTTTACTAACTAAGCTCCAAAATAAATCACAACAATTTTTTAGAAATGCAGAATAAAGCACAAGTAAACAGAAAGTCATCATTGTTTCACTTGTACCCAAATAAAGCGGAATGCTCCAAAACCAAGTATACCCAACAAATGTATCACCTGCAAACCAACACAAGTCCAATGTATCAAACACTATATACAAATTTAATGGTGATTTCAAACAAATTATATACAAACTCGACTAATTAGGAAGCATCCAACTACGTAGAGAAATTACGTGTCTGCCCATTTATAAGTCATGTTATAAAATTTGCGATGATCCAAATGCTAACAAACATGCACTTAATTTATCAGCAAATAAGAATTTGCACTGTGTCAAAAAAATAGCTAGAGCCCAGAAAATGATCAGATAACAGATCCATGGAAAGGACCAAAGGGGATAGTAGGAAATGAGTAACAAGGATAAATTTATGTAAACATGTTTGGGAAAAAAAAAATAGAAGACAATCACAACAAGCACTTACTTCAAGAAGCATGCTCCACAATGTTTTTTAACAGAACCATACTCCACACCCACTACTGTAAACACAGTTCCCATAAGAATAATGTAGAAGAAAAATCAAATCAATAAACTAAAAAGAAAAAAATAGGCCCATAAACGAACATGAGAATGTATATATAGAATGACAAGGTTAAAGCGAGACTTTATTCGTATCAAAAAATTCACTCTAATAGAATATCAAAATAACCCAAAAAATCCAATCTTTTTATCTCCCAATGTAAAATATGTGTAAAAAGAATAAAACTCGTTACCATTAATAATTAGCATCTTGAGTGATCAGTGTAAAAAAAAAAGTGTACATGCAGCGCGGAGGACACCGTGTGAGGACACGGGCACGGTGTCCGCACCGTGTCTGCGATGCCCATGTCTGCACACGGTGTCCTCCGTACTGCTTGGACACATTTTTTTTTTATAGTGCTACCAGTAACATTTTTTTCAACTGACATTTTGGGATACAAATTTGATTAAATAAGTCAATGAAATCTTTACAATTCATATAAAAAAGTGGATTAATTTATGTTTATGGAGAGTTACCATAAAAGCGAAATCAGATACAGCCATGAATTGGCAAGATTTGAGCCAGCGAGCTCAAGGTCTCCAAGGTGGCCTCATCCACATCAATAATCTTGCTCCACCACCTCTCCGTTGTATTGTGTTTAAGTAGAGGTTTTTTCACCGCCGAGGAAGGATTTGGGAATTCGAGTTTTCTCTTTCGGAGTAAGAGAAATTGTAGGTTGCGACTGAGAGTTTTAGGGCTACAGTTTATAGGAAATTTGAGAAGGTAGAGTGTTCTTTGATATGAATTTAAGGCAACTTTAAAAAAAATTAAGTGAATTATGTCGACGATGGAAAATCGCAACACGTGGTAGCCAAGTTTTTGCATCTTTTTATATTGTAGTGAAATTACCCACGCCTTTTTAACTTCTCGTTTCAATAATTAAGTACAAAAAATTATCTTTAAAAAATTAGATGCACCCACCCACCCTATCCCCACCCACAACCAACATTCTCTATCTCTTGTTTTGTTTGTATAGAGAGACCTGAAAAATGCACCAAATATATATTTTTAAAGTATTATTTATTGAATTAATCTACTTTGTTAGATGTTTTTAACATCTTGGATAACAGAACGAGGTCTGACAACAAGTGATTGGGTGATAATGTTGATTGTTTTTTAAACTGACTAATAACAGAATTGTCTGACAATGTAGCAAGGTTCTTATTTATCAATCTCGATTGAGATTGCTTTTAGGTTCCCAAGATATTTATCTGTGTTGTGTTACCAAATCGTATCACTTTCGAAATAAAAAAGAGTTACGATAATGTGTTACCTTTTCGTGCATATCCATAATATTGTTACCAAACATGGGCCATAACTAGATCTATCAAGATTTGAGTTTATTGCCTGTAATTATCATAATTGGTACAAAAAATACCAGAATTAGGTGGCATTTTGTTTCCATTTAGAGCTGGGCATGTGACAATAATATACACTTCCCAAACAAGCTCACTCATTCTAATCCATTTTTTCCCATCTCTTCGTTCTAGTCAGTTGCTATCTTATCTGCCTGCAATGGATTCTCAATTTATTATTTATCTTCCTTCCGAATATTGTTCGAATCAGGTCGAAAAATTATGTTTACTTGGTCAACCACAACTTGAAAATTACCTCTTATATAAAAAAAGGTAACTTTCAAGCACAATCAAATACGATGTTAGGAACACGATATGGAAATTAAGCCAATCAACTTCCACGGTTCCACTCAAGTTGACAAGACAAATGATCTTGCATGTCGTCTTTATTTAATAATAAAAAATATAATGAAGATAAAGAATTAGACCTTTAAGATTATAGTGTATAGAGTTTAATTATAGTGGTTTATGGGAGTAAAAAATGAACTACTATGATTCAAATCATTTTTTGATCGTAAACAACATTCCCTTCGATATGGTCAAATACAAATATGCAAGTAGAAAGGTGATTTGAGTCTAATTTTAGGCGCAACAGAACCATTTCATGAAAAGAATCTTAGTAAAATACGTTAAATGAATTCCTGTAGAATTCGATCAACTATTAGATTAAGACTCAATGAAAGACCAGAGGAGGTCTCTATCTCATACTACTCAATCGAGATAGGAACGAAGTACGTATTTTGAGCCTTTTGCTACCAAAATTCACATGCTTAACAAGTTATTACTAAAATAATCTACTTAGTACGAATCGGAGGTCCTTAATTGAATAAACAACTTTTAAACTTTTTCATTGTTGAGAGTATCAAATACATTCATTTCAAACAAATTGTCTTGGGAGTTTTAGTTCTCTTGGCCATCTTATGCAATCATGCTATCATGTGTAGCGACTCGAAATCGTATTGTCTCAATTTTAAATAATCCTACTCACAAAGCACATGGACATTGATAAGTATTGAAACCTACCACAGAGTCTACATCTTCCTTACGTTTTGCCTTGTGATTCCAACATTAGGAAAAGGTATGGGTGTAATTTTCCCAACAGTCTCCGATGGCAATGGGTTTCAATCAGTCTTCAATATTCTTTCTCAATTTATTATATTATCTTCCTCCCGATTATTGTCTGAAACTGCTCTGAAAATTATGTTTACTTGGTCAAACATAGTCCGATAATTACAATTTTCATGTTATTCAGTATACATGATCACCGACCGTGGTAACTTATTATTTAAAGCAATAAAATTATAGAAAATTAATGACTCATATAATAAGCCGTCACATAAGATAACTATTGCAACAACTGATTATGAATATCATTATTCTTTTTAAAAAGTAACTTTTAAGTACAATCAAATACTTTGTGAAATACATAACATAAAAATTAAGCCAATCTAGAAACATATAATGCAGATAAGAATGAGACCTATGTATAGAATCTAATTTTTGTACCGAACAATTCAATTCGACTTTGAAACTACCGAAACCCAACTCATTTTTGTAATTTCGTTTCGATTCGACAGATTGACAATTTTTTTGTTCACTCCTAATTAGATTTATGAGTACTTGTCTTAAAGATGGAATGTACACAAATATTTTACAACCATATATATTAATACGGCATTTTTATTTTTTATTTTTGGCCTTTTGCCACCAAAGTTGACATGCTTATTAAATTATTACTAAAATAATCTAATAGCACCAATGACAGGTCCTTAATTTAATAAACCACTTTTAAACTTCTCCATTATTGAGTGTATCAAATACATTCATTTTCAACTACTTGTCTTGCACTTTAAGTTGAGGCTTTTGGCCTTTTATGCAATAATGGTGTCATGTGTAGCGACTCGAAATCGTATGAAATAATTGCAAGACAAATAAATATATCTAAATCCAAACAAATATTTGAATTTGTCTTTATTTTAATAAAATAAAATAAAATTATTTTACAGATCGTATCGCTTCAATTTTAAATAACTCGAGTCACAATTACACAAATGGACATTGATGAGAATTGAAACCTACCCAACATCTTTCCCCGTTTCGCCTAATTATTCCAACTTTAGAAGAATAATTACTCAAGTGCAATGACCATAACACCCCTTGTGACCATCTCGATATTTTACAATCTCATGGGCAAATTTAGAAACTTGCTCAACAACGAATCCCGTGGGCAAGACGCCGCGTATGATCACATTCATACATTAGGTAGCAAACAAGGCGGCCCCACATCATCGGATAAACCTAAGAAATGACGCGCAAGATTTGGCCACGTCCAATTTGATTGGTGTGGCCCACACCACAGATTAGGATAGGATAGCAACATATAACGATATTAAAGAAAACATTAATATTAATTTGGGATATTCGAGTATATCCAGAGAGAATTATTGACCCCTACTGTGTGGATCCTTGCTGTCTGGTCCACCAATTTGGACCACCCGTATTTTTTTACCATGTGGATCAATGCAGGTACGTCCACGTAGGACCAATGGGTCCCATATATTCAAGTTCATGGTGTATATAGCCCGTTCCTAAATCGTTGAAACTCGAAAAAAGTAGTTATTTTTAAACAGCTCAATTACGCTGTATTATTAAAGCTCGGTGGGTTACAGGCCATGGCCGGACTATTGGCTAGAATTCCCATCAACCACCGGATTTTTCCGTGTGATAGCCGGGAAATTGAGTTTTCCGGCGACCCCGCTGCCATAAATTTGTCAGACACTGTTTTTGAGTTTCTGAATGAAGAGTCCGAAGGGTTGTCGAGCTTCGACGGGAAAAATGAAGATGACAGTGAAGATGAAGAGGAGAAAAGTGGAAACGAGAATAGTGCAGATAATAGCTTCTGGGAGACTCAAAATCAGCTTTTACAAGTATGTTTTATATGTTCTTTTGTCTCCATTGATACACACTAATAAGTATAACTTTGCACGTTATAAGGTATAGATAGAAAACTAGTAATGCTATTTGTCATCAATATTTATTAATACCAATATGACTAGTTAGGGTAATACAACGAGAGTGCTATATCTCACCTTTCACTCCGTTGTCTCCACCTATGCTTGCTCAGCAAGACACCATATCAAGTGCTACAATGCTGTTGAAACCGTTCTGGAATCTTTGCCTGTCTTTGCTGGTTCCCGTACGGATGGGTCATTTGGTTAAATGGATCATCATGTTATCATGTTGAGAAGATGGGCATTCCTAGAAAATTTTATTTTTGCAATATTTGGGTCATATGTAATACTTATAATATTTTATTGTATGCTTGTACAGGCTACACTATGCAGGACAAGTTCTTTAGAGTCAAAAATTCGTAGTATCACTAAGGAGACAATGAAAGAAGCACAAGAGACGGCGAATTGGTGCGGCTGCGGAAGAACACCAGTCAATACTGGCTGCCGGAATTGTTTGATGAAAGAGGTGTGCCGCCGCCTTCAAAATGCTGGTTTTGATAGTGCAATTTGCAAGTCTAAGTGGAGAAGCTCCCCGGATATTCCATCAGGTATATATAGGCCTAAATATTATTGCTCTTACTTGATCATTGAGTGTCATTCATCAAAATCTTGATTCGAATTAGTAATATTATCTCACAAAGTCATTATTTTCTTGTGGATTGATGTTGCAGGTGAACACACATTTTTAGATGTAAGAGATAAATCGAGCTCCAGAAAAGGGGAAATTACGGTTATTATCGAATTGAATTTTCGAGCAGAATTTGAAATGGCAAGAGCAAACGAAGAATACAACAAGCTAATTCGAAAACTACCAGAAATTTTTGTTGGGAAAATTGAAAGACTGCTTGCCTTATTGAAGATTTTGTGCTCAGCCGGCAAAAAAAGTATGAAGGAGAAGAAAATGCACATGGCGCCATGGCGGAAACACCGGTACATGGAAGCCAAGTGGCTTAGAATTTGTGAGCGGTTGACATCCACGGCGCCGTTGTCGACTGGGTATTCCGGCAGCACGCCTCGGCCAAGGGCCTCCATGCTCACTGTAGATTTGACGGAAAACTTTCCTAATTTGCACCGATCCGTGGTTGAAGTGGTGTGAGTTGTATAACGAATTTTGTATACTTCTTTTCTTTTTCTTTTTTACAGTTCTTCCATAATATAGAGCAAAAATAAATTCGGCTCGAGATCAATGATAATTTCGTCCCAGTTTGGTAGAAATTAAAATCAGATTTTTAACATATTTTGATAAAAGTTGATGAAATATGTGATTGAAAAGTTGTAGATCCCATAAAATGTGTGATTAAAATTAATTGTTAACTTTGATTTGAAATTCTAATTGAAATTTAATCCAAACGAAACAAGGGCTTAAAATGCCCACATTTGAATTTTTAAATAAATTTGGAGTTGACAACGTTAATTTTTCAGAGGATAAAACTGGGAGTACAGAATATATTTCACAGGATTTTTTTACAGGATTTTGATTTTCTCTCACATGGTGATGGGCCTCATGTGAATAAAAAATTGGCAAAACTCCACCCCACCCACCCCAGCTGTGTGTTGCCTGAAATTCCTGTACTTATAGCATTACCCTTTTTCAGATTAACCTACCTTATGCAACAGAGTTGGACCAAGACAGTGACCTAGAAAATGACAATCCTCATCTGATTTCTTCAAATGTAGGCTGTAAAACAGTGCTAAAACTACGTGGAGTCATGGAGACATGGAGAAAATTTCGGAGGATCTTATCTTGTCGAGATGGTCTATATCCATGTCTTGCCTTTGGAATAATTTATTAACTTTCTGTCACATTATTGTCCTATCCTTGGGGTCGAGTTGCATGCATAACAAAGCCTAAATGAAGCACTTGATGCCCGGCCAGTCCTCACCACTTCGGTAGACAGGTACCCGAATCATGGCCATGCATTTGAGCTAATTAACCAAAAAATCAAGCCTCGCTTTCATTTATCTATCAAGTAACATAATGCAAGCCTTAATGTGTCAACTTAACTCTTTTGCTTCCATGCCATCCATGGTGCAATTAAAGAACACCAGAAGCCAACTGCTTCAAATTTATGTGCTTTTAGCTCCTGTTTGGTTTAGATTAGATGAAAATTAAATTTTTAATAGATTTTGATAAAAAGTTTATGGAATGTGTGATTGAAAAATGGTGGATTCTATGAAATGTGTGATTAAATGCCTGCCTGGCACCAATTTGTGAAAGTTTTTCATCAGAATTTTACCGTTGTGAAACTGCAAATGAGTCCTAGGTGCAAGTGCAACGATTATAAAAATTATTCAAATCTGGTATAAAATTCCTCCTAGACACATGCTAAAATTAGTTGTTGACTTTAATTTAAATTTTAATCCAAATTCGTAGCCGAACCAAATAGAGGCATAAGTCTTGAAAAACACACAATTGCAACCAAGCAGGCTCTCATCCCTTCTCAAGTTCAACCGAAATATGCTTCACTCCAACCTCAGTTTCTCTTGGAAACATCCCTTCATAGACTTTTCCATTTCCTCCTATTCCGAAAAACTGTTAGGCGCTTCATCAATTTCTTGGATAGAAATAAGCTCTCCACTTCATATCGGCAATAAAACCTTTCCATCTTTGAATTCCATTATTCGAGCCATGGAAAACTCGAAATATGACAATTCCCTTGTCATTGCTGTTAAATAATCCAAATAGAAAAAGAAAAAGAGGCTAGGGTTTTATTGATTCTGCATAATGTAAATGAATGAATAAAACCTAAATACTAAGAGACTATATATAGTCTAAAATAAAGAAAACTTAAAAAACTATTCTACCCTTAATAAATAATGTTAACAAAATAATCATATATTTCTTAACAATTGCTACCTCACTTAGAGAAAAAATAAAATTGTATCGCTATGACTGCACCCCAAAATCTTTGTGACTTTCAACCAATGCTCTTGTTTAATCCTTTTCATTCCTGTAGGTAATATAATTAAAATATGTTCAAGAGACTCTCTATTTGAATATATTATATATATAATAAAGAACATCTTTATATTTAGAGAATAAAGTTGTATATACACTCCAAATAATGAAACGTTTATTTATTTCTCATCGTCTGTTATTTAAAATAAATTTTTTTTTAATAGAGAGCATGAATCTTAATAGAACAAAAGCAATATAAATGAGCAACCAAGGAATAGTCTAGGTTAATTGTCTTAGGTAAGGAATATGAGTTTCAATTTCCATGAGCTTTATAAATGAGCAAACAAGGAGTGTGCTCTAATAATGACCTTTGCTTACTTGAGTAATTAGATAGAAACGTGCTAACTCGGGCAATCTTGTTCTTTTTGAGATTTTCGTAGTAAATTTTAAAAGTTAAATTGATTCTGTAACTAGAATCAATAATTTAACCATATGCTCATCCAAGACATAAGTGACATGACTTGACATCATCATCATCTTCATCTTCCCTCACTTATCACCAGAAGTTTGTACATGTTTCAAACTCAACGATGATAACTAAATGTGAGTGTTACGCTCGTTACACAACACCTTACAAAATGAGCTGACAACAACCATGCATCACCTGTATCTATGTTTCCAAGGCATCCATATTTCAAGAGGATCCAAGGCATGTCGATGCCTGGTAAGATTTTTTTTTTTGCTTTGCGTCGAATGAAATAATTGCTCAACCGTTTGTACCCATCTCTATCAATTCCGTTTCTTAACCTGAGGAATCGGAAGTAGTATAATTTTGACAATCGAATCGAATCATTTAATTCAAATGGTTCGGGAAATTTTAGTTAATAATTACACGTTTGGAAACATCTAATTCAATAACTATAAGTTATTTCGTCTCAAACAGTTATTAAACCTTGGAAACGAGTCAGGCAGACCTCACAACTAAGCCACTGTTTGACACCCATTTTTGGAGAAAAAATAAATTTTGGAATAGTGATTGATGGAAAAATGTGTGGTTGAAAAGTAATGAGAATTTTTGAGTTTATGTGTAGTATTATTTTATTGATAGAATGCGTGGTTGAAATGAAGAAAAAAGAAAAAAAAATGAGAATGAAAAGAAAATGAGTGTCAAACGGGGGCTAATTTACTCTGTTAATAGTGCCTTTCAAATTTCTTAAAACATAATCAAATTCAAGTTAAAAATATTTTTTAATTATGATACACTTGGATAAGTGACAAATGTCGTCAAAATAAGTGATTAAGCCAGCTTATCTAATTTTATAATATAGTCAAAGTTATAAACAAACTGGCCCTCGGAGTTCCTCTAATGATACTGTGCCACGTATGGGTTAGTAAAAGCGGTCTGAAAGTCAGAGCACATGGGATGATAATCTCAATGATTTTTTAATTTTTTTTTCAACTTATTTATTACATCATTTATTACAATAATAAATTTGCAAAAAAATAATTTATTGGGAAAAAAAATTACTTTCCGAAATTAAAGGAACTTGTGAACTGTGATCTAATCTGTTAGATTTAGAAATCAGCCACAAAACCCTAGAAATCAATCGCCACAGCCCTAAGTAACCCAGCCCTCAAATTTAAGGCATTTTTATTAATTTATTATTATTTTCGTTTTAGGGTTATTTTTGTTTAATGTTGATTTTGAGGCCTATTATTTGCGCTTAATACCAAGCATTCTTATACGTGATTGGTGGATTGAAAATCAATATTGAGCTTTAATTGGATACAAAATTTACGTTCTATTTCGGTTAATTACGATTCAATAATAGTTGTCACCTATTAGATTTCCTTTTGAAAGATCAGTTGTTTGGGTTCACATTACTCAAGTCTTTGCTGGAGAGTCTATTACTATACTGAATTATTGCCATTGGATTACAAATTTCTTGAATTCAGGGTAGCTTCAACAGTTGATTTTGTGCGGATGAGAGGTGAAATTTCGGACTTGAGGGGACAGCAATGACTACAGGGTCATTGGGTCTTCGATCTTCGGGAAGTTATGGGTCATTGCAACAGCAGCAATTTCAGAGTAGTTTATTATTATCTCCAATCCAAACTACGCCTCCACCTCTGGTGCCAAGAAAGCCTGCCAAGATGATTAAGGAAAAGGACAAATTGTTTCATTGGATCTGCAAATTCGCTCCCCGGAAGAAGGTTGGAATGCTGCTCTTGTGTCTTGTTTCCACTGCTGTTTTCGTCTGGGTTCTATATGTTGGAAAAGGTTTGGCTTCCTGTTTTAAACTCTTGTTTCGAAATTCTTTCTGCATTCTTAATTTTGGCGCTAGTTTATATCTATATCTGTATTTGTAAGAAAGAGCACATTGCGTCTACCTGCACACAAGATTATATATTCATGAATTAATTCAAAAGTTGGTTTTCTTTATCTGAGTTTCCATTCACTGGCAGAGTTTGCTCAGAATGGGGTATTGTCATTTAATCAGCTGCGTGTGGGTTGAACGTGATTTCGGGATCAAGATGTTGATCAGTTAATGAATTAAAATCTTTGTTCAATCTGCGTTTCTGCTTGTTTGCAGGTGAAGATTCACAAGAACCTATTTTGTCTAATATGAGTATTAAATCCCCATTGATGTCTGGGGAGAAAGATGGTCTTACTGCTGCTTTTACTTCTAACGTAAACAATGTTGTGGGAAATGCAAATGTAGACCTGCTACCTCTGCCTCCAAATCCGCCGCCTCCTGTATATTTTACAGGATATATTCTTCCTCCTGGGAATCCATGTGAGGGTTTTACATTGCCTCCGCCACCAGCAGATAGAAAGAGGACTGGACCACGTCGTAAGTTAAAATATCTCACTGTTTGAGATTTCATGTTATTTCGCTTATGGAAACATCAAGATAACTTGGTATTAGACTATACGAACCAAGATATACCTACTTTGATCTTAACATGTTATTTTAATGCGCATTTTTATTCTTCTAAAGTCTAGATGATCATCAGTCTACGTGGCATGGTGTCTATGCAACATTGACTAATGTTTATAAATGCATTCCAACTTATTCCGACTTCACTGGACAATGTAGCAGTGAAGATCGTCTAGACTTAACCTGAATTTCATTATTCTTTTTTAATGATTAATCTATTCATTTTGCTTATTTTCTTGTTGCTTGCTTTGCCAGCATGTCCAGTTTGCTACCTTCCTTTGGAACAAGCTATTTCCCTAATGCCAACTACACCATCCTTTTCTCCTGTGCTGAAGAATTTGACATATATTTATGAAGAGAATTTAACTAGAACCGAGTTCGGAGGCTCTGAATTCGGTGGATATCCTTCACTGAGACAGAGAAGTGATTCATATGATATAAGAGAGTCCATGGGCGTGCATTGTGGGTAGGATTTTAATGGAACTACTTTTTCTGAATATTTTACCTCATATTGCTATTTTATGTGCATATCTTTCTTATGGGTAATTAAACATTCTCTATAGGTTTGTTAGAGGAGCAAAACCTGGCCGCCAGACAGGTTTTGACATTAATGATTCCGACCTTCTTGAGATGGAAACTTGTCAAGGGGTAGTTGTTGCATCCGCAATTTTTGGTACTGATCCAACATAATGTTTGATTTCTACATTAAATCTTTTGGTAATTAATAAAGGAGGTTTGTTCTTATCAGGGGCATTTGATTTAATACGACAACCAAAGAACATTAGTATGTATGCCATAAAAAATGTCTGCTTCCATATGTTTGTGGATGAGGAAACGGAAGCATTTTTAATCAATTCTAATGAGCTGGATGGTAGCAAGAAAATTGGGTTATGGAGAATAGTAGTTGTTCGCAACCTACCTTACTCTGATCCGAGGCGGAATGGAAAGGTAAATATCTCGAAGGTTAGATGTTGTGCACTTTGTGTTTAGACATGTTTGTTGCATTGACATTTAATCTTAAGTTGGAATGATCATTATCTATGGGAGAGGGAGATATCAGAAACAAATATAATTTGAGCCCCATTTTTCAAAACTGATTTTCCCCAAACATTTTTTCAACTACACATTCTCCCAATAAAATAATTTTGCACATAAATCAAACTCTTTTCCTACTTTTTAACCACAATTCTCCAAAAAATCACTTTTTACAAATTCTGTTCTCAAAAATGTGGCTAAAAAACAGGGGCTTCATTACTCTCATCATTGTATGTAAGAGAAAGCTGTCAACACATTGGTTAGGATTGAGGTTCTTAGTAATTATTTACTTAATTAAAAATCTTACTTATCTCAAGAAATAAAATCTGATTAAAAGTCCATTATGATCTTTAGATCTGTGCATAAATTTGTCATTTCAGTATTCTATATCTGTAGGAGACGAACTTTAATGAAGAATGCCCTCAGATCTCTTCAGTCATTAATTTTACATTAAGAACACAGTTATTAAAAGTTTAGTTTATTATAGGAGAAGAGAAGTTTGGTGTAGAGGTGGTTGGCCTTGAGATTACAAGAAGTTGAAATGATTATCATTTTCTTTTTCAAAATTTAGTAGCCTTACACCACATTTACACTATTCGGCCACTAAAGATTTTGTTTAAGTGTGATTCCTCTCGTCGCAGAACCATTTCTGGAGTTTTCTCTTTAAAGGAGTTAGTGCTCGTCTTTTCATATGCATGACCATCTCTTAAATGCTCTTTCTTGGATATTTATGTTTTAGAACGCTTCATGAGTTCAAATTTTCTGTGAAATCATTCAAATTTAAGAATCTTATCATTAGCCATTGCCACTCCCGACAACTCTGGATTCTGTTCAGTTTTATATCATTTTGCTTTAATTGGATATTCAGTTTTCTTTTCCCTTTCTGCATGATAACTTATTCATTGCTTCCTTAAGCTCTGGTTGGTCTATTGTCCATATTCATTTATTACTAATAGTTACTTGTTTAAGGTTGTCCAAGTTTTTCTGCCTTGCGAAAAGAATATCATACAAAATATGTACAGTCTATGTCAGATAATGGCATAGTCGAATAGGGTTCCCCCCTGCTTTTTTGATATAGTTGGTCTTGCACTTATTGTTATTACGCATGCCTCATCTAGTGGCCTCATTGTGTTATCAACACATTTTCATAATGAAGATACTATTTACCTTATGAATTGTTGATAGCAACCCTTTCTTCGTCGTGTGCTTTATTTCTTTGCGTCCATTATGCCTGTTCGGCAACAGAGCAGCCATTCACATTTGATGTGTATACTGATTGTTTTAAACTAATATGCTCTTGTATGTCAGGTTCCCAAGCTTCTACTTCATAGGCTTTTCCCTAATGCCCGATACTCACTGTGGGTTGATGCAAAACTTGAGCTGGTTGTGGATCCATATCAGATTCTCGAAAGGTACTTATAATCTACTATAAGTAGCCAAATTTGTGGTTTCTGTTGTTACAAAACGTTTTTTATTACTTATTAGCCATGTTATTTTTCAAG